GGAGAGAGAGAGAGAGAGAGAGAGAGAGAAAGAGAGAGAGAAAGAGGGTCTCGTGGGTGGAGACAAGCCGCGGAAAGGGACTCGGATTCCATATTTTCCTCGGATATGGGGAATAGGGGTTCATCCTCCCTGACCAACATCCGGCGGAGCCGTCCGTCCCTCGATCTCGGTGCTCGTGTATTATTTATTTCCCGCGGACGTATGGATTATGGACCGGCCAACCTCCCTTTCACTTCGGAGTAACCCCTGTAAAGGGGCTCCACTCTCTTTTTTCTTTTTTTTTCTCTCTTTCGCTTTCTCCCTGTCTACTCTGTTTTCATCCTCCAATTCTCCACTACCGAATACTCACGATTCCCACCCCGGTTTCTTCTTGCAACCAGGCGGTTTCGCGAGGTTGTTTTCTCTCGAATCCCCGCGAATCGTCGAGATCTTAAATCCAGCGAGCAACCGCTGTCTCGTTCTTTCGTCCTACCCCCCCTGCCTCTCGAACGAACGTCCTTCCTCGGTTTTCTTCTTTTCTCTCTTTCGTTTTTTTTTTCTTTTCCTCATCCGTCATGTTTCCGCTGAAAGAAAATCTCCCGTGCGACCCGGGCGAAGAGCGCGCTAGCATTTTACGTGCCCGACGACCCGCACGGAATTGTCTCAAGATCCGCGCGGACGGGGTGGAGATGGACATCGGTACACCGAGCGTATCGGGGAACGATGGAGCTTCGCTCGGATGACAAACCAATCTCACGCCCGCCGGCTGTGGGCCCGATGAGCTCTCCGGCCACGGACGTTGTCGAAGAAGAGAACTCGTGACACGCTCCGTCGAGCTTATCCGGATCTGATGACTACCGGACGAATAAATACCGAATGCACGAGTGGCCGTATTAAATTGTGCTCGGCCACCGAAAAGCGTAGCCAGGAGAGGAGGAGCGCGCGCTTATTAAGAATAAAAAAGCGTAATTTTCGAGCGAAATCTGGACGTCAAAGTCATTACCGGAAGCAATCTTAGCCGCGATCCTGTTTTCCCCAGGCATGGACTACTCGTCACTTACGAGCCGGCGATTGCCCGGCCTTAGGTGGGTCAATTTTCTCAGTAAGTCGTCTCGCGCGGCGGAAGGATGCGAAACACACGACGAAGCGCCGCTAAAATAATATTGGCCGAAGATAGCCCGTGGTGATAGGCTGGCGAGGAAAGGGCTTGGCTTGGCCGGGGCGAGGATGCGAGAACCATTATTGCCTTTCGAGATGGATGGCTTCTGGATACATGAGCTCCTCGGCGCAGTCGACCAAAACTTTCGTCGAGAAATTACGAAGATTTCAGAATCGAAGAGGGATCGAGGGATCAAAGAGAGTTGGATCGCTTCGTTTTATGACGCGGGATCATGTACGAATCTTATGTCTGTGATACTAACTATTTGCATGTTTTCACATGCGTTTCTGATAACGGATAAAATTTCGTCTTTCCCGCAGTCGCGCAGAGGAATCGTTATTAATAATCATGTGACGTCTGACGCAAATTTATCGACAATTGATCGACATCGCGCATCTGCGACAGCAGGTCGTATTATGCAATAAAGGCTGAATACTGTCGATAAAGAGCGCCAATGAAGGATAAATGTCAATTGGTTTTATTGACAGGTTGAAAAAGTAACGAAGAAACGCTGGGTTATTGAATTAATACTTACGCAAGACAGACACTTATCAGTATAACAAATTGAGCGATGGTAGGAAAGCTTACGAACGTAGGTTACGAACATAAAATTATCAATCTCAGGCGTTTGAATTTATAGAGGCTCGCAAATTCCTCGTAATTCTCCAGCAAGAGTGTCCTCAAGTCAGATTAAAATTTAATCGAATGCAGTGGGAGAAACGAAAAGTAACGAATCAGGAATTTAATATTGGCTTTAATGACTAATAAGAAGAAACCTTTATGCGACTTGTATCACGATTTGCTTGCCTACACAAGCTGGATAATTTGACGAGAGAACGAAACTTTCCCGTTCGAGTCGTGATCCTCGTCGAAACCCTCCTCTACGGTAAATGATGTGGAAAGAGGGCAGAAATTAAAGCCGCTCGTTAGGATGAAACGCTTCTGCCGCGATCGCCGTGCTTCGACGTCACTGAACCGCGAACAGAGAGGATGGTATCCGATCCGATATTCGAAACATACAAAGAGCCGCGAAAGTGGATCGTGTCTTCTCTTTCGTTCGAACATGTTGGAATTTCGCGAACTCATCGGATCAAACGGACGGACGGGAAACCGGATTAACGGCCACGATAATCGCCCGTTTCACATGCGGTTCACCTAATCCGCAACATTTATTTAATATATGAGAAAATCCATCAAAAGACCCGTCGCAACAAATTCCTTGAAATTAACTCCCCTTAATGATATTAAATTATAAAGGAAGATTTTTTTTCTTTTTTTATCCTTCAATTTCGAACGATACAAAAGCTGCTGCTTCAATATTAAAAAAAAAAAAAAAAAAAAAAATAATCGAATCGTCCAAAGGAAAATTGAATGAAAGGATGATTCTGGGACATCTCTCGTATTACACTCGCACTCGCGTGCACTTCCGTGCGAAGATTTGCTGAATTTAATGAACGAACCTGTTAATCTAATGCTCGTGATAGTAAGGGTCGCATTGAAAAGTTACGACGTATACATAATGGCGCCGATCGACGTTACCAATACGACGCCAATATACGCCTGTGACTATCATCATTAGTGGTGTTTCCCTTCGTGCTGCATATATCTATCCACTAATGAAGTCGATGCGAGAATCGAGGATTTCGCTTTAATTAGCGCGCGTAGCTAGGAGGTTTCATTTGCATCTTGCAGTCAGGAGAAACCTGCCGGTGCAT